ATTGTGATTTTAACAAAAAGTGTATTATGCAAATGGAATTATGCAATACAAACAAAAATAGTTAATTTGACGTAAAAGAAAATATTTCTGACATTTTTACAAATTACTTTGACTGATAAATGAAATGTTTATATCTCCTTTAATGCACATTAATATATCTATTATCTAATTATATCTAATATTAAAGCTATCAAATTATAATCTTTATTGAGTGAATAGCAACTTTTATTAGTTTTCTACCTTCATAACAGTATAATTTTTATCACTGCACTACCTTTGTAGCTACCGTACTTTTGTGGTTCTAGACTTATTAGCATTAGCACCAACAGTATCTTTTATTAAGTATCGATTAATGATTTTTTCTTTGTAGTAGGATTTTTTCAATATGTGATAGGTAACTACCGTAGTTTTTTAGCACTTATTAAAACATATCCATAAAAATGCTATCTTTTCATCCAGTGTCATAGTGATAATTAATAATGCTTAAATTTGAGACATATGGAACAAGACTCGATCTTGTATTAAAATCAGAAATTCATACTTGGATGAATATCTTGTCGACATGCTTTCTACAACTTTGGATTTCCAAACTTAGACGATTTCAGTGTTGTTTGCTAATAATTATTATTCAGGTATGTAAATTTTCTCTTAAATTCACAAAGTGATCATTAATTGATAAGAAATGCTTATACTTGATTAACTTTCTGATTTTTTTTAATTAAATATGAATGCATTAAGCCATATTATTTGTACAGTACTAAAGAGTTTATGTGCTGATTTAAATATTCACAAAAGTTCAATTACTGTAGTTGTTTAATTTTTATTAAATTTATTTCTAATTTTTTTCTTACTTTCAAATTCAAGTATTTTAGTATTGGATCAAAAGCACACAAGAACTTATCATTCTTCATACTTACTGCTAGAGTGGTGTTATAAAATTAATATAAAATTTATAATAATTACCAATTTTTTGGAATTAAAATCCTTATCAAAGTAAAGATTGCATTGTGTTCATATTTACTTATATCCTTATTAATATGATTAGAAGAAAGGTTTATTTGAGATTTGGTGCTGTGAAAAATTTTTCATTAGTACTGTATGAATAAATTTACAGTTAGTGACAGACTGCTCTACAACAATTTTGATAATTTTGGTTCAAACAAATATTGTTCAAACAGTTATTACTGTAATATTACACCAAGCTAAACAGAATGATAGTGTTTTTGGTCACATATTCTACAATTTGGTAAGTTCTCAATTTTTACTCCTATAAAGTTTAAATCAATTTTTATACTGTAGCAGATATGTATGCATTACAAAAGTGCTGAACCACTGACAAAATAGAAAGCTAAAGATGTTGTTAAAGCTATGAATAACTGTTATTATTTATTGTTTATAAAAGGAGGTGATTAAAATTCGATTTTAAAAAGTACTCTAAAAGTCTGAAATCATAGCGAAAATGGCTTTAAAATTATAGTATTAATAATCTTGTTTATGTATTCAATTAGTTGAGTTTGAATATCTAAGACAGGAGATTGTTTTTATATTGATTTCAATAAAAAATGCAAATTTTTAAAATTATATTTATGCAAATTTCAGGTTGATCACATTTCTCAGATCATTCAGTGGCTATTAACAGTTTGTTCTCTCAGCATTGCATTAGTAGTATTAGATGCTATGAACATGTCAGAAGGTGAAATTAGCAATGCTATCGATAATCCTGGATTTTTCGATGAGATTTCTCCATTTCGAAGTGAAAATAATAACTCATTTACAAATGAACAGAATAATATTTCCTGTACTGTACAGTATACTTCACAGAATTCAGCAAACAATTCTGCTCAGAACGAGATAGAATTTGTTTCGAATATCGAGAAGTGCACAATGAGTGAAGAGGAGGAAACTGATACAGTCACTGGCAATCGTTCTAATAGTAGCGAAGTTGAAAAGGGCATTTGTTCAGTTTATAATGGCAATAACTACGATAGTACAGTAATTTTCGTTGTGGATAATGATGATAATGGACAAGTCGAAATTGAATCAAGTGATAACGATCATGCATCATTAATTCCAACGATTGAAGATAACATTGAAAGCACGGAAAAAAGTCAAAATTACGATAGTAAGAGTGCTGAAGTTAGGATTGATGAGACGGATATCAGAGAAGCTAGAGAAAACAAGGAAGGAAATAATAATGGTGATAATCATAATGGTGACCCTGGGGTCATGATTGATGATTGCGATGAAATCCAAATTTTCAAATGTGAAGAAGCAAGCAGTAGGGAAGATAATCAGAATAATTCATCATCATCATTGTAGGCAAAATAAAGTTTTTTTTTTGCTTGTGATGAAGATTCAACATGTAGAAAGATAATATCCATTATGACAGTAACAATGTTAATAATGTTGTTGACAAAAGAAACTAGCATACAGTGCCATTTTTTGTGGGAGTGTGAAATTTTAAACAGAATCAAATGGAATTCTAGGACATTACGTATTAATCATGATGGAGAGTTATCATCGAGATTGATTCCACTCATAACGATGATTCTGACTGACAATTCAGCTACTGAAACCTAGTACAATTATCAGAAACTGCTCAAAGGCATAAATGTTTATAGATTCTATATTCAGTGCATTTAGCTCTTCACCATTATGCATTTTTGAACTGTCATGTATAATCAAAAAAGGAATCAAATATAAATTGTACAAGCCGTAAAAAACATGAATATTTATAAGCTATTCATTGCTAGTTCCTCTTGTTGGTTTTGAATTTAATTTTGTACTGTAAATTTTGTATTTTTGAAATACACCAATCAATCTATTAACTGTTACCATTGTGCATTGAATTAAAAATTTTACCAGAAAATACAAAGTCATTTAGTTTTCAGAAGCAAGCAAAATTCAAATCTACGACTACATTTGTTAAGCAGGAAAGAGAAATCCCGCTGTGGATGTGTTAAGCAGAAGAAGCTTTTTGAATTTTCGCTTGGAAATATCTCAGAAATTCACTTTTCAATCAAAATCAAAATTGTGAAAATAAATATGAATTTGTATTATTCATCAACACTCAAGTTATATTTTAATGATTTCAAGTTGCATTATTTCTCACATATTTGTACAAAAGGTATGTTTTAAAGTGTTTCAAAAATTTCAATAAAAATTTGTGTGATTTCAGAATAAGTAGTAAGTAAATACTAGTAATATCTTCGCGTAAAAAAATGGCGCGTATTTGATAGAATAAATAAATTGGTATGTTTAATTTCGGTTCGGTCACTTTGACTGAAATTTTAAATGATTCTGTCAGATTACATTCGATACGTTGGGTTGCCTTTATGATATGTTCAAACAAGAGCATGACCTTATGGGATCAAAAAATTTCATTCATGGATAAGTGAGTTGATATTGCGGGCCGCAAATATCACAGCAGTGTCTAGTCAATATGTCAATAAGTGTGAGAATGTAGCAATCTCCTTGCGTTTTTCTCTCTTTGATGTGACAAGGAGTGTTTTTGATTATTGGAACTTTTCATGCAGGGCTTGTGAATTTATTGTTGTGTGTGGTTCGTATATACGTGTTGGACGTCAAAGCGTGTATTAGTGTCGCTTTTCCTACTTTTAGTTATGAAATCAGTATTACGGTCATTTAGGTCATGAAATTATGATTGTGACTTCTAGCTTATTTCCGTCACATTACGATCCAAAGTAATCAATTGTTTTTGCAGATCAAAAAAGAAGACAGTTTTTGGATATTACTTTCGATTTCATTGACATGTATGAATCGTAGGGATGTTAATAGTACTAGCGATAGTAAACAAGTAGTATTTTATCTACTAAATGCATCTATTTTTTGAATTGTTTGCAGACTTTGATCTTTTCGTAGACTAGACTAAGATGTCATCAAGTGGGCCCTATAATTATTCATATATCTTCAAGTATATCGTCATTGGTGATATGGGAGTTGGCAAGTCTTGTTTGCTACATCAGTTTACTGAAAAGAAATGTTAGTCATCTTGCATGACATAATTTGTTATATATTTTGTCAAACTTCACAGCTTATTAACATTTGTACCGTCTGTCTTCATTCAGGCTAATGTGAATTTCGATTATAGTGCTAAATTTCTGTGAAAAAAACGTGCATGGATTAACTTCTCTTACAACAGCATTGTCACAAATCAAACTATCAGTTTTTGTAAAATTTTCATATGAAAAGCTTTTGTCAAACTGGTATGTCTTGTCAACAAACAACGGAAAAGTAAAGCTAGAATTCGTTTTTTTCTTTTTTTTTGAAAACGAGTATCAGAACTGTCTATTAATCAAATTTGGTATTTCACGTACTTCTTTTTTAGTTATGGCCGACTGTCCGCATACCATAGGTGTTGAATTTGGAACACGAATAATCGAAGTGAGCGGACAAAAAATCAAACTCCAAATTTGGGATACAGCCGGCCAGGAGAGGTTTGCACAACATTGCTCGTTTCAGGCAGTTCTTGTTCTCTTTGTCCGATGAAGGCCATCCAATTAAGATCGCTTTATTAATTGCAATTAGTTGTTTTATTACATCTTTTCCACCCAGAGGTAAGCAAAGAATGACGAACTTACATGGATATTTGGAATTTACTACAATGTGAATCAATGATAAGTCGATTTTTCTAGAAAGAAATTATTTTTGACACATTTTACGTTATGAATGTATTCGCTTTAAACCATTCCTTGCCTGCGCTATTGAAATACAGAAATCTAATCCAATGGCACATGACAAGGAGTGATTGAAAGGAGAACTAATATGTGTTAACCTTGATTGTAGTGGTTTATGAAACTATGATGAGAGCTTGTATATACTGTTTAATCTGTATTTAGAATCTCTTCATAACATCTATGAACCATTTGATTGAAGAAAAATCGAAGAAAATTTTTTCTATATAAAATTATACCATCTCATCTCATAGGTTTCTGCTATCTTTGTATTGTTGTCTCCTGAAATAAATGTAATCACAAAATTTTCCCAGATTCCGAGCAGTTACTCGTTCTTATTATCGAGGTGCTGCTGGTGCACTCATGGTTTATGACATTACAAGACGATCGACTTACAATCATTTAAATAGCTGGCTCATGGATGCTAGGTCTCTTACGCATCCAAATACGGTACTTTTAGTTTCTTTGTTTTTGAACTTGATATTTCTGTGAATAACGTGCCGCTGTCTCTTTGTTGTTACAAAAAAGTAACATTTTATATATTTTGTGTATTTTGTGCTATGACACCATAGTTTTTTAAATAAGTTGGTTGCTCGCTTTTTTATTTTCTATCTTACTCATTTTTCAATTTTTTTTGAAGCCATGTCGACGGTGTAGATTTGTCTTGGTTGATATCTGAAACTTTTTAAGGTAGTATTTCTGATCGGAAATAAGAGTGATTTGAATGGACAGAGAGATGTTACATATGAAGAAGCTAAAGCTTTTGCTGATGAAAACGGTCTTACATTTTTGGAATGTTCGGCTAAAACGTATGTGCTAAACGTAATTTTGCTTCACTATTTGATATTTCTGTTTCTACGAAATTCATTTGCTCATTTTTTGGTCAAGCTACTATGTTAGGAGCCAAACGAAAGAATTTTTCCTACTGATGCTTTTTACATTGTTTAACGTTCTATTTTTCAAGCGGTGATAATGTGGAAGATGCATTCCTGGATACTGCACGGAAGATTTATCAAAATATTAAGGACGGCAGGTATGTCACTTGTTGGATAAAACAACCTATTATAATAAAATCACAAGAGCATAATTTAAGGATCGAGATATTGGTTTTGAAAATTTTTTCAGCCTTGATTTGAATCAAGCTGATACTGGTGTCCAACCAAAACAAAATTTGCAATGTGGCACACAGTCAGTTGGGCCAGAAGGAAGGAATTGTAATTGTTAGCAGATCATGTTTTCTTCTGACCATCACTTCTCTTGATTGCTTACAGCGCGATTTTATCGGATGATTTTGTTCTTTTAAAATGTTCAGTTTGCAAGTAACAAGCACTGAAACATTTAATGGGAACTGAAATTGTTAAAGAATTCAGAGCAAGTGTAATTAATCACTTTTCGATGGTGGGCTTTTCGTATTTCGTTAAGCTTCTATCATCAGGCTCATCTAGCGCTCAAATTCAATAGCATCTTCAAAAAATGATGTGCTGGTGTGATTTGCCGATGGGCTATTTTCTGAACTACTCTGAAAAGTAATTTTAGAATTTGCTGTACACATTATACTCTTAATTAACAAAAAATTTTGATGACGGGTTGGTCATCCTCATAAGATTTCACATTATCTAATTCGAGAGCAGAGTGCTTTGCACTTACATAACTAGCAAAAGTATTTAGAAACTCGTAAAAGACGTGGTATCAGTAGACTGTTACCTGCGTCATTTAGCTTACTTGTACGGCAAATTTTTCTCAGTAAATATCGTAATTATGATTTTATCTTTAATTCGAATGTCTCCACATAAGGGCTTGCTACCATGTACATTAGGTATTTTCTTAAGTACTTCTTGCATAGAACTAGTCCTGTAGATGTCTATAATATTGTTTAACCCATTCAGATCATTTCTGTATATTTTACATTTCTTCCATATAGTTACATTCATGCTTTTCGTTCCTTGTATATTTGTTATTACTGCTCTTTCCGTTCTCAGATTTTCATAAGCATAATTTCTAACGAGGTGTTACTAACATGTCTGCTACATGTGTGATAATTCCCTCACAGCCCAAAATGTTTGATGTCGTTCCTTTCACGTTTCTTATATAATTACTCATTTCTTCGTTCAATCCATAAAATGAAATCACATCACTGATTTGTTTGCTCATATAATACTGAAATTCTATAAATACAACTAGTATGTTAAGGAGGTCTATCTGTATGTTAGCCAGGGAAAAATGATCGCAAAGTGCTGTAGACAGTACATGTGTATGTATTAGGTAAACTATGGCAATATTGGTCTGTCAACTAGTATGTCTAGCAAACAAGTTATGAAAGAATATACTAGTATCCCAGAGTGCATCGAGAACGTGTACGAAGAGTATAATCATGATAAAAATCTTGGTAACTTTGTAGTAGTGCGTGTTCCTTACATTTTGGCAGTTCTATCCTCGGATTCATGCGAAGTGAGAGAACGCGTAGTTCGTCATTAGAAAAGAAACAGGTATGCATAAGAGAGAATAATAATTTATAGAGTCTTGTCGTAAGTAACTTCATCCAAAGTCTGATGTCAGTTTGAGGAGCTAACGAGCCATTGATGGTAAATCAATATCAGTAATGGGTCTAGCTAGTACCGCCACATCACAAATAGTATTCTATTCTTGTCATGAACATACCAGACGTCATACTGTTTCATTGATCATTCCATATGCGGTTATTGCAACAATAGAAAACTTTGTTACTCGTTACAAAGATAATGAAAACCCACAAATTCGACACAGATTTAGTAATATTTCATAATGCTCATAAAACTAGCGAGAAAAGTTGCACGTGAACCTGTTTTACAGGAAGCGTGAATTGTCTTCAACAAAAATGTAGAACAGCACAAATCTAGATAGTATCGGGATAAAAATTGTAAGAATCTACTGCTTTCAAAAGTAATAAGAGTGATTTCAATATTTAAGAAGATCGATTATTTTTAACAAACAAGTGTTTCTAAACTTTAGCCCTCGCTATATAACGGGAAACACGCTCTATTTTTGACGTTAAAGATATGGCACTGTCATGTAACACAACACAGTTGATAAAGATTAGAAGGGCTCGCATTTACTGCGTAATTTTAACAACGAAAAGCAAGAATGGAGTTTTCAATACATAACTCTAAAATCATAAAGCGAGACGAACTAAAGTTAATGCGAAATGAATAACAACATATAATGCATCACAGATATCTAAAAAATGAAAGATGTTTTGTTCTTCAAACTACTACATATTAAAGCTTATGTTTGCAATAGTGAAAAAAATTTTCAACATCCTGTTCTATCTTTTGCAATAAAGTTCGTGCCCATTCATTGCTTTCAATAAATTTCTAGTTACAATTAGTCATTTGTACGATATTCATTTATATGACCTCACATTTATCGGTTCCAAAAAATTTGCCAAAAATGATTCTACCACCGTTTTTTATAATCATCAACCGAAACACCACCGGGACCATAGGCAACCAAAAGCAACAAACCGCCGATAACCGACATTGTTTGAAAGAAGTCATATTTCATGAAATCACGATAAAAACGGTCAGTTGGGACCATCCACCAAGCGTTCAAATAGAGATTCAATCCAAAGAGCCATACCACCAGAACAAAAGCAGACAACTGCAATTCAGTAATGAATTTTTCAATTTTTCAGCCCAAGTGATTTAGCTATCACTTCCATCGGCTAAGATAAATATATATGCAATGAGTCTATTCACAAATGAGATATTTTCAAAACAAGATTATTAAACTTTAGCGTAAAGTGAGCAAACTTTACATGAAATACCTTTGTTTTGTATCCAACAAGTACAAGTATCATCAGGGCTCCTCCAACAACTATTTCGATAATCTGCACAAAATTCCATTCGAAATGAATCAATGATAAAAACATGAAGATAAGAAATATACGTCCTGTAATAATGCAGAAAATAAAATGTTGGTATAATCCTTTTAGAAACACATAATTAACCGAAAAAGCACACAACGGTACAATTTCAATTTAACTCAAATATATGACACTTTACTTGAAACTGAACTGGGAGCGTACCGGTAAGCAACAAAGCAGATTTTCCACGATTTGCGTCACCAACTTGTGGTACACCAGCAAAAAGACTTTTATTTTCTTCCTTCGTTTCCGCAAAAAGAAGCAATAGACCACCTCCAACAGCTACGTTTCTGAAAAAATTTTAAGCTCAAAATAAAATACGAAATTTAATGTTGACACACACAAAGTGCATTTGAATACTTTTTTTCAAGATTTCTTCTTTTATAAATTATGGTGCATAACCTACGTTGAACATTTTACTGAAAATTTAGTAATTGACAACATATAAATTGAAGCAAGAATTTTCTGAAAAAAGAAGGCTATCAAGTTAAAGGCAAAGCAAATGAAAAAGTATAGATATTCCCTAAAATGTAGTTCTGACCTAGCCAAAAATTTTAAATCCCATAAAATATGATACGCTACGGTTTGCAAACTGACAACAGAAGCAAGTAGGATACACCCAATGCCGACCTGAAAGAGTTCCGGGTTAAAAAAACAACAAGAAAATGGAACTAATTTAAAAAAGAGAAAATCGTTAGTTAATTTTAAAAGCTTACCCTTTTGCGAATCATAATCATAACAACAGGCACAATCTGCCCAAAAAGGTTAAAAGTCACGAATAAAATAGCAAGAAACCATCCACATGACCAAGAATCCTAAAACTAATATAAACTTAAATTATTACAATCCAGAGTTCATTTGTTATGAGAAATATGTTAGCATAAGTTTTTCAAAGATGCTTTATTTCTTTATGAACTACCTTGTGACATACTCTACCTGCAATTAATGACATGTGACTTGGCAACTTTTTTGTACCATACCATTATTATACGCAAAAGGAAAAGGTAGTCAAAAACAGAATTTGTAACCATAAATCAAAATATGAAACAGAAATGTTCAGTATATTATCAGATACATGTAAATTAAGTTATATTTACCTGCAGGAATTGTTTTTGATCATCCCATTGAATCCACATACGGATACCATCTTCTATAAACGTTGATATGAGACACAGGCGCGCAACATGAGGTAAAAAGTGCTTCGTATGTCTTAACACCTGCAATTAATACTAGCAAAACAATGTTTTGTGACGTATTTTTAATGTACCTTATAATATGTATCATGAACTACAACACTAAAAAGTTAAGAGAGCAGTTTTGACGTGAAATTTGACGAGCTTTCCTAATAATTATAAGCTTATACACAACTCGGAAAAATTAAACAAAAATGCACGCATTATTTAACAAAGTAAAATTCATACTTTGATTAACAAACTTTAAGTACTTTGTAAAAGTATAAAAAATATCTCAGCACATTTGCTTAATAATGCATATTCTCTTAACATATAGTAATAAGCAAAAAAAAGAAACGGACAATAAACATACATCATCAGCGATATCTTCTGCTGCTCTCAAGAACTCTTTCCGTCCACGAGTTCGAAACTGCTCCATGATGCTAACCTGTAAATTTTGTAATTAATTTGTGCACTAAAAAGCAATTTGCTCAGTTTTAATGCAGACAATTTTTCGGAATCGAACTTGACATTTAATGCACTGAAATAAGTAGACACGTAGAGTTTCAATAAATTTAAAAAAAAAATTACTAAAATGTGAAAATTTTGAAAACAACAATTTCGTGATCAACAAAACAAGTGCTTTCAACTAATATACACTGTCTATTAATTTATGAATTTAAATGTCTTTAAATAGAAACTACTACAGCTATTTATCATACCCATAACACAGTACAAATCCTGACTTTCAGGCAAAAAATGGCTGAAGTGAATTGTAAAAAAAATAACAACTTCTGAGATATTCCAGAAAAATTATTATTGATAAAATGTATGAAATAAGTCCCCAGCGAGAGAAACCTCTTCAATGCTTATAAATTTAGCACAAATAAAAACAAAAACCAATTTGACACGTCAGTTATAAACGAATCAAACGAAGTTTATTGTACATAATTCGTCTGGAGACATCTTAATGAAACTATTTCAAACTTCAACGAAATAGTTTTTTGTAAATATTTTATAAAATTTTAATTAATTATCATTCATTTACAAGTTTTAGAGTAATTAAATATGGTATTTGTGTGTTACTTAAATTTAGACAAGAATCAGATTACTCTCGGATTACTCAAATTTTTTCGTCTTTTATACTCAAATAATAATATCAAATGAGTATGCTTGCTACTTGAATATTTAAATAACTATGAAAATATATAATATAATATAGAGATGAACAAACTCGTCTACAAACCTGAAAAGTAATCAATAAAATTACTTGAATTTAAACAATAATAAACAGCACTGCTTGTTTTTAACTTTGATATTTCAATTCTTACAATTTTTGACACAAACATCGCTTATAAATATTATTTTTAATTTCGGGGCAAATGAAAAATAAAATTGCCAACACAAAACTTTTTGATTACTAATAAAATTATAGTTTGTTGAAAATTTGTACAATTAATATTATTTCTCTTTTTTTGAAATTTGTTATTATTATAATTAAAAAATTAATCATCATTCTGAATTTATTATTATTTCTTGTCTATTAATAATAATTATTATTATTATTTAATAATTATTTTTTATTGATAAAATATAAGCTTTAATAAAATTATACAAATCGTTCATTAAGAAAAACACCTTTAATTGTACTAAAAATTTGATTTTTTTCATGAGAATTTCATTTTTTTACAACGATTATTAAAAATTGTGATAGTGCAGTTCAAGAATCGTAAGCCTTGAATATCTTATTAGTAATAATATGTATTTAAAAATAAATAAAAATAAATTAATATAATTCTTATAATATAAAAATTTCATTTTAGATTTAATTAATTAAAAAAGAATGAAAATAATTGAGCTGTCCATGCATCATTGCATTTTTTCGAATATTAGCTCAAACTTATTGAACTTAGACTTTTATTTTTCTTCAGATCAGATTTTTACTTGCTATAAACTTCATTCATAATTTAAATCCAAAAACCATTTAAGTGAAGGAAATCACTTTAAGCATGCTTTTAGTGCCATAAATTAATTAAAACTTATTTATTGCTAACCAAAGTTATCTTTCGATAATTCTTCAGTTAGTTACCAAAGTTGATTAGTTACCAGCTTCGTTTTGAATTTTCAAAAGTTTTTAAATTCAAACTGTATGCAAAGAATGAGTGAATGATTTTATTCAGCATAATATATAAAATAGATTACAAATGTTACGTATTAGTGTTTGTCTTCACTCAGATAAATTTGCAATTACTATAATAGCATAGATAATAAATTTCTATTTCGACTGTTTGTCAAATGTCGAAAAATTCTCACGTATAATTGAAGCCCTTAAGCTTGTTTAATATCTTCAGTAAGTTCACGTCTAATACTAAATTATTGGATTTAAATAAGTTCAATCTTTAGCACATACGCTGATATCAAATATCATTTATAGATGAGGCATATATGAGTAATTTATCAATATAACACTGAACAATGAAGTTCAATTAATTTTTTAAAATAATACAATATTCACAGAAAAAAAGCAATGCAGTTGGTATGAGAGTATTTTATATTTAGTTTTAAGATGTGAAGCTTTATTCTGAATTTTAGTTCGTCAATTAATTAATAAATTCAATTCGTGTTAGTTCAAAATCACCGCCAATCCGAAATCCTTTATAATCTTCTTCAGGCTTTGGTGTGCGATGCGCATAAGTGACGTAATGCTTTGCATCTGCATAAATCTAAAAATAATAATAATTTTTGCATTAATAAAAAAAACCATTCAAAAATTGTGGTATTTTTTACAATTACTGAATTTTCATATTCATTTACAAATGAACAGATTAAGGAATCATTACCAAAAAGATTTTAAAATTATGTGAAAAATATTAAATATATAAAATATAAAGATAATATGAAAATAAAAATAAAAATATTAAAATTAAATTATAAATATTTGCTGAGTAAATGTAAGCATATATTTGTGCATACATAGAAACTGGTAGATATGATCATTACATTTCATGAATCCGTTTTATGTAAAACACTCTTTGTTGAATTTCTAATAAGTCAGTAATAATTGTAAATAATATGCTCTTATTATTACTACGATTATTAATAATAACTGATGATAATTTTTGCGGGAAAGTTGCCGAAATATAAAAGTTTGCGTTATTTAATGAATAATATAAATTAGCCTGACCTGAAGAGAAAACGGTTCGTTATGGAAAACCAAATCCGTAATAACATCCTTTGTGAAAGGAAACAGACCTTCACGTTCTTCATCTCCCCAAACATTATTAATTCTTGAATTCCGGACCACCTTAAACCAATCTCTGACTTCGAATCATTACATGCTGATCTTTAATTCAAATTTTTAAAAGAACAATTCAAGCACCACTGCAGTTTCTACAATTAGAATCAAATAACCAGAGATGAGCAGAAAAAGTTTTTATGAATATGCAAATTATGCTAACCTGTTTTTCGCTGAAACGTGGATTGAAGTGGAAAAGAATGTCACCTTGATTTGAAAGAAAATTGACCTCAAATCGGTCACCTTTTGGAATACCGGTGATCTTAAGCTGACCTCCTATAATAGTTTTGTCGTACACTTCTGACTAATTTAAACTAGATGGCTCATGACTTTTAATGACCTTTATCTGATGTGCTCATTCAAATATCAAACTACAAATAATTCTTATTTCAAAAATTATTGCATAGATTTTTAAATTTCAAAACAAATTTAATATTTGCTGACCATTAAGACTGTAAGCAATGATATTAAGTAGTGAAAATAAGCGAAGACTTGAGACTTGTTAATTACGACAGTCTTCTTGTACAGTTATTACTATAATCTGACTTCCATTACTAATTCTTATTCTGATATAACTCGATTTGACGTTGAATAAAAACTTTTACAGTGGGACAGAAACGTGCCAAGTATAAAAGTAATAAGAACAAATATTTTTTTCAGAAACATTCAGTATAACTCAACTTTTTCTCGTACAAACAAGTTTACATTCATTAGATGATCAAAATTTTGACAAATTAATGACTTTCGAAGTTTCGAGAATCACTATAATCAAATGACCACAACTTGATTCTGATAAAAATTTGCTAATTCAGCTTTATTACGACAGTTTAGATCATTTATTTTTGAACTTCAATTCAGATTTTGTGATATAAATTGAGAACTGACCATTACAGCAATAATCTTTGACTTGAATGTAAATTTTGTATACATTTCAGCAGAATTTCTGGTTTATAGTAATCAAAAGTTCATACTTACCAGATTTCAGAGAGCCATGTTCGAAATATGTTTCAAATGGTAAATGATAAAATTGGCCACCCCACTGCACGGCATGTAAAGAAACATCCCCTCGAACTGCCAAGTATTCTGCGTTAATGTTCACGTGAGCCTTATAAACATGAAGCGCTTTTTGATTTCCATATATCTCGAACTTATCAGGATGAACTCTAATGCGAAGGTCAAACTTTTCATCTTTCTTGAAAGGATTAGATGACTTCTCTTCTTTGCCCCATTTGCCATTCTGCAATTTTTCAGGGGTTGATGTCAAAGTCAAAGTTGTTTATGGTTCCAATTTCATTTTCCACGTGAAATTCTATACGAAAATAAGCATGAAAAATATTATAAAAAACTTGATAACTTATAATTTGTGAAAGTGAAAAACTGATTTAAAGACAATTTGTTAAGTTTGCTAAACTGTTAGATTTTACTCATAAAATGACAATATTTAACGCGTATAATACTTTAGTACTTTCAGAAAAAACTTCATTAAATAAGCAAAAATAAAGAGCATCCATTTTGCGTGGACCCATCTTGCACACGCAAAAGAGTTGGAAATTTCCGAAAATCATAGCACCATATTTTACGGAAAACAAATTTTTGGTGCTTTTTTTTGAATGAATTAATAGTTGAAAGATTAAGACAATCATTAAGTGGAAAAAGTAGAAGAGTGCACTTCATAAGTGTTGAAGACCAGTTTATTGTCTTTAAAACGAGCTTTCACGTGAAGAATAGTAGCTGTTGCTGTCTCAATATTAGGTGAATCCGTGAGCAGATTGACCTCAAATCTACAAATAATTCATTTTGGTTATTAAGTTTTTATAATTAATAATCTCTTTTTTATTCTATTCCATACCAATCAGTATTGGTCTAACTTGTGAACAAATTAAGTACAAAAAAATTAGTAATTATTTATTATAAATTAAGTGCCAACCATTTATGGCACTCAGTTCATATTAGCAGTCAAAATTGTCAAGTCTTTTGTGCATTTTTCGAGAATTGAAGTTATCAGATTTGCATTATGATTAGATCATTTTCTCAAGACTACAATGAAAGACTCATCTTAATCAGTTTTCACTGGTTTTAACAGATTTAGTTTGCATAAGTATTGTTCAAAATTAAACTGACTCTGAAGGGTCAGACCCAATAGTACCATGGATCTCTAAAGTTTGACCTGGCTCAAGCTTTTTTCCCAACTTAGCAACATAAGGTACCGGGAAGACAGTATTTTTTTGATGAGCCTAAAATGAATTTCATAGCAAAATTATATGATAAATAATGATGATTACAGTGATGATATGAAAAAATAGTCACTATTACTATTATTATTTCGTATTATTATTATTATTATTATTATTATTATTATTATTATTATTATTATTATTTATTATTATTATTATTATTATTATTATTATTATTATTATTATCATTATTATTATTAATTATTATTATCATTATTTTATCATTAATTATTATACATATTTTTTTTTAATATTAAAAATTAAATTTACAACAAAATTGGAAATATGTGTGTAATCAATCATAAGATATTGATGATAAATAGTAGTAAAATAATGTTAAAAAATATCATCAGTAATATCGATTAGTCATGGCATTTGTCGTATCAGTAAGCAGTAATGAATTAATCCTGTGCTGAGTGAAGTTCAAAAGATTGAAAGTAATTTAATCATTTCACTTCTCAGAAACTAAATTAAATTTACGATTCTTCAGTTAATAAGCGGTTTTACTTGGCTTAAATTAGTGTATTTATTATATAAAATTGAGTACAATTTTTCAGTAATTTATTATATTAATTACCTAGGAAATCAATAATTTTCAAGGATTTTTTGCTTTTGAATGGATAATAAATTTACCATATTTTGTTAGTTCCAAAGATGAAATTGGTTTGATTTTGACAGAAAGAGAAGGAAGTAACAGCAACACAACGCAGCAAGTGCTCTGACGAATGGTAAAGTAGTGAGCAATTTTCGACTGGCGGAAGAGAAGGGATGTTTTCGTGTTTTGTTAGTCGTCGCCGAGTCAACACGTAAAGTTCCATCGAGCAGGAGATCAGAGGTTGCGCCATGATGCTGCCATCAGTGTTAATGATAGTTATAACAATAATATAAATATGAATATTGATATTGATTAGAGTAGTGCTTAATAACGATCAAGAATCAAGTAATAGTGATGAAAATAATAGCAATCGAAAAATAATCATGATCAGCAATCATTCCGGCACAACTCACTTTTTAATAATTATTAATATTATTACTTTCGGTCTTTAATTTCTGCATTACTTGCTGTTCTCGAGTTATCAAAAATAGTGCTATCTTTTTGTAATTGCTTATCAACTCTGAATCACACACTGCAAATACGAGTGAGACAAATGTTTGCAGAATAAGTCATACTTAGTTGTGAACTTAGTTTAGCAAACAAAGACTTATCTATAAATATATCAAACCAATGGACCAATTTCTGTCAAACAGCTATACGTATGAAGTTATTAACTCTTCTCAAAGAAGATCCAAGGTCATGACCTTTACAAAAAACTGCACTTATGAACGTACTTTCTGATTACCAAGAGTACATTCCAAGCTCATGAAATTCACTTACGTTCACTAAAGAGTAACTCTCGCTCATGAATCCATTTACTTCTGGTAAGTAATATTATTGACTAAGAATTCATCTTATCTTTCTGCCTGAACTATTACTTAATTATTATTAAGAATTAGACTAAACAATATTTTTTATAAGCAGACTTCACTTCTGTGAACGACTTATTTTTTATCACTAAGTTTAATCAATATTTCTGGCAACTTCTTTCAAATGATGCTCAAAGTTCACCTTCATTACGAACTACTTGGCATTTCTATATTATCTCACAAAAAATATCGGTTTTCAGCGTTTCAGTATTCGTTGCATGCAATAACAATTGTGTTGTAGTATAGGTATAATATTGAGTTTATGGCGGGGCCTGGCAAGATTGATTTTTGTACCAGTTGAGCGCTGGTTGCGATGTGTATATGCTTAGACTTGTAGTTTATTTAATACTGTAGCTTTAGACGCGAAATGAAATATTAAATTTCAGTTATTAATTTTCATCTTATTAGTGTAAAATGAAGAGTTACATAAATGTAATGACGTGTTCTTGAAATTATTTGATTCTATCACTTAAACGTAATTAACGTTTAAGTGATAGAATAAATGCTGGCGTGCAAAAAAGTAAAGAAAGCAACACAACTTTGAGCTTGAGATAAGGTATCAAGTTTTAATTCTGTAGAATTATTTTATGCTTATATGAAGCATAAGATTTGGTTGATTCTTCTTGCAGCCAAATCTGAGTCTTATGTCAGCGGCAGATGGTGGTGCCGCAGCACTACTAAGAGCAGGTCTCAGTACTAATAGTGCTGAAGTGATGTATGAAGATGACCTGACTGATAATACCATACCCGATATACAGGTAATGCTTTGTCAAAAGAATCATGCATTGTTATAATTTTAGAGGTAGCTACACAGAAAACTAGATAAAAAAGTAACGTGACAAATATTTTGCATGCATTCAATGAAGTTGAGATTTGTTCAAATATTGTGTTGATAATCGTTCTTGAAACTAAATATCTATTTTTCCTTCATTTCTACTATAAGTTTATATGATGATTTTAATGCATATTTTGAGTAAAATTATTGATGTTGCATATTTTCTAAATTGTATTTTTTACACATTTTCCCCATTTAATACTATTTTTTAGAAGATAACTAAGAAAAACAACATTTTACCATTATGGGGAAATACACAAACGATGAATTTGAATGCGCTAGTACTAGAAAATATTATTCAGTGTACGTATTATAAAAACTACCTTTCCGATACTACAGGATTTCAGCAACTTACCGAGGAGATTTATTACAATGTAAGTTTTTTTGCAAATTATACAAAGTCTGATAATCACGCTATTTTTTAGGTTTCCACATTAATTAGCACGCTATTTTTCAGGTTTCCACATTGAGTTTGGCCTATTTTTTACTTCAAATTATGCAAGTAGTTTTCTTTTTAATTTTTACGTAACTGCATAAAATTTTGCGAAAAATGACTGAAACTTTTACTTTATCTAATTTTTTAAATGATAGTTATCTTTGTTTTAGGTTAAGCACCTGGAACCATGGGAACGTGGCACTCGAAAAACACAAGGAATGACCGGCATGTGCGGCGGGGTCAGTCGCTTAAGTGGTATTCGTTCTCTCATTAAATATTTCATCTTTTTTACAGCATATTCAATTATAGCAATTCTTGTACAAAAATCAGCCTCTAGGTACGAGGTGTTGGCGCTGGCGGGGTTGTGAGTACGGCTTTCTGCCTCCTTTACAAACTGTTTACCATTCGCCTCACAAGGTATTGATTTAATAGTGAACGATGATCTAGCTTTTTTTGAAGCAGCTTCATAGACATGCGTAAATTTTCATCATGTATCATCAGCCGTTTATCTTTTATACATTGTTTAATTTTCCGAGCATTGGTTTTGAAATCTCAATCTGTGCTTTCAATTATAAGCTGCTTGATGCATTGCAGCAACCCAATCTCATTTGAGGTTCAGCTCTTCACACCTATATTTGTCACTTATTCTATTTTTTTATAATGAAATCGAAAAGCAAATTGAGGAGCATATTTTTAAAGGGATTCAAATTGTTTTAAATAATCCAGGAAACAGTTGGTTAGCATGATAAACAATCGCGATTCACCGTACATACGTGGCATCGGCTTCATGTATATTCGATTCTGCCAGCCACCACAAGATTTATGGGCATGGATGGAACCTTATTTGGTAAATATCATAGTGTTTAGTTTAAGGCTGCTTGCATTTTATTTGAAATCATTTTGATTTTATAATCCATTACATTACTTATGATATTTGTGGAACTCTGAGTTCTCAAAATTAAATCCAGAAACGTGAAAGTCTATGGAGGAAGAAATTATATTGTGTTTGTTTTGTATTGTTATAAGTGGTTTAAATGATATTTTTTTAGTGAAAAAGATGATGTAAGAATTTGTGAAATTAGCTGTTTACTAATTTTACAGGATGATGAAGAACAAATTGATCCACGCTCAGGGACTGGTGATATGATGGCGATGGCACAGGTTGTGAAAATGATGCTAACCAAATTGGATTGGTACGGCACATTGTTCCCTCGCATTCCTGTTCCTATTCAGGTTGGAGATAAAATTGCTGAAAAATAAATGGATTATTCGGGTGAAAAAGAATCGTTCCACTGAAAAGATTCTTGCTAAACAGATTAAAACCTTCACAATTTTGCTGTGATTTTCTGAAATTCTACTTAGTTTAGCAAGCATAATACACTCATAAACAATTGTCATATTCATTTTTATTGTTTCGATATTTTCTCGAAAATTTATCGGTTTTCAGAAGGAAATTGAGTTGAAATTCCGAGAAAAAGCTAAGTTGGAATTTCAACGAGAGCATAAGTATGTTTAGTTCTTATTTTTTCGAGAGTGCTTAGAAAAAAATCTGATCAGAGGGAGAATTTAGATAAAAAATGGGGTTTTCTGTTTGCTTTGTTTTAAGTGTTGTTGCATATAGGAAATACATTCCAGTATTTTATGTTGTAACAAAAGATTTTGGATTTAGAGAGCGAATTGATGAGCACAGGTATCGAAGTCGCAGTAGATCGAGGGATCGTTTAAGAGAAAGATCCAGAGATAGGGAAAGAGACCGCGAGAGATCTCGAGAACGAGATAGAGATAAGGAAAGAGACAAAACAAGAGGACGATCTCGTGATAAGAAACGAGATTCCAGGTTATTTTTTTGTGCATGAACAGCATGGTGTAATGAAATTTTTGAACTTGTAATTAAGAATAAATAATCTGACTCTCATTTTTAGATTATTCACCAATAAAATATGTCGTGAAATATAGGAAGCAGAACGTAAACCGGCAAAGGAGTAATTAATTTTTGTTTCTGCATTTGTTAGCTGCATCATGTTTCACTGAGTTGTAACGTATGAAACATGATAAATTTAGTCTTTTATTAAATTTCTACTTGCATTCCCTAACATTTTACAGTTTTACTATTTCCGTTTGTGTACAAAACTTTGAACATTATAACCAAAGTATTGATTCATCATTATTATTAAATTAGGAATATTTTTTACAGAGGAAGATCTCCAGAAAAATCAGCAAGATCAAACTATTCTGGAGATGAGAAACGGAAGCACGGTGGTCATGGATACAAATGTAGACATCATTTGCGACATCATCACTGTCGAAAGCACAAAGAATACTGTCCAACAAAAATGAAAAAGTGCAGAATATAAAATTTGAAGTTTCAAGTTTAACAATTGCTTATTTCTATTTTTCAGAGACCATTTCTTCAAAATGGAAACTTTTTATGAACTGAAATAAAGCATATTTGCTTTATAGAAAGACTTTCAAAATGTTATAAATACTTTAGAAACGTATGTAAATGGTATTAATGTAATTCTATTTCAGACTACGTCAGGAGAAGTTAGAAAAGGAATGATGCCGTGATTTATAATTGTGTATCACTGTTATACTCAATAAAAAAGATAGTTACACTTTGTTTATGCCAACAATTTCAGTGTATAGGATAAGTAAGACCATATTAATTGGAGTCACTTATATTGACAAATGTTCTTCCATTGCTTTAAGGCAAGATGTACTATTTCAGCTGAAATATAATGTCATATTTTCAATTATTTTGTATATCTTGTGCACATCCATTATTTTTGTGCTAAAATTGTAAGTGGAGTCACTGACTATGTATATTTTGATACCAGTGAGTATTGGTATCAATTTATTTACATCACTGTGGGAAACCATACATAATTTTTGATTTTGTTTGTTTGTGCTAACTGGCAAAGTTACCTCGATTTTTTAGATAATACTGAAGCTGAGTTTAACTCCATATGTATTTTGCTGTCTTGCTTTGTATGTGACCTTCATTGTTGCAATAAAACTTAATTTATCGTGAGATTGCGGACCCTCGCATTCTAACAACATGATTGTTGGATTTGATGCATGTTCGCAAATTATGAAATAAATATGGTATTAAAGTATGACTAATTTTTATTTGGTGTTGGAATCCATTTTTGTATTTGATCTTTCAGTATTAACTTGCTACCGGTGTTAAGTACGTCTTCGCTGACAGATGCTTGCAGGTTATGTCAGATTCCGATAATTGGTGTTTAATAGAGTCGGACCCTGGAGTTTTCAGTGAATTGATTCGTGGGTTCGGGGTTTCCGGTGTGCAGGTTGAAGAGTTGTACAGTTTGGACGACGAACTATTCAATGAGATCAAGTATTTGAATTCTAAGTCTTGTGAAAATTCTATTCACTCTTATTTATTATTTCTTTAGACTTCTAAGTCTTATGAAAGTTCTACTATTTCACTCCATTATTTATTTCTTTAGACCTGTTTATGGACTCATTTTTCTCTTCAAATGGCGTATGGGTGAGGATCCTGTTGGTACTTATGTGTTCGACAATAGTCGAGTCTTCTTCGCACAGCAAGTAATTTTTTAGTTTCGACTTTGGAATGCATGTAGAGACTGTATTGTGCTTGTGCAACTTATCCCTGTTTTTTAACTAGGTTGAATCTGAAGTTCTCGAATTTTTCTGTTGATAGTGAAAAGTCAAAAATAAGAGCATTTTTTAACTACCATCTATCAAAGATCAGTTATGTAGTAATCAACGTTCTTGCTTTGTCTTTTTAATTTATAGGTAATTCAAAATGCGTGTGCTACTATTGCGATAATAAATTTATTGCTGAATATGAAGTCAGAATCTGGTGTTGTACTCGGCTCAGTTTTAGAAGATTTCAAAAGTTTCACTCAAGGTTTTGATCCAATCGTAAGTTACATCATTGTGTCTGGCACCATATTTATATTTATCTATATCTCAGTGATATCCCATATATTCAGCTTCTGCTCGATAATTTTTTGGTAATTCTTGAGATACTGCATAGGTTCTTTTTTTATTTTTATGCATGAATTTAGAAAGCTACTCTTGAATGTAAAGAAAATTCAGGTTATCTTTCTTGAATTTATTAAAATCAAGTTTGTGTATTTTTATGCCTTTTCAGATATTATCCAAAATTTTAAGCTGAGAATGAGCAATTGAATATTATAATTTTTAGTAATATTCTTTGAATGCAGAATGATTTTCAGAATCGTGGTCTATGTCTTGGGAATAGTGATCCTATCAGAAAGGTTCATAATAGTTTTGCACGGCAGCACCTTTTTGAACTTGATATCAAAGGACCAGAGAAGGTTCATTCTCTTTATATTGCATAAATAGTGAGGTGAAAAGTTGATTTTAATTGCTTTACCTTCCTACCATGTAAAACGACTTTAAGCTACTGCAAAGATAGGTAAAAATATTCTGAAGTTCGCACAGCTTTGGTATTTTTCTGTCTCTCCAGATTTCTGTATTTGGAAAAGAATCATTGTGTTTAAAATATTAGGGATATTGTGTTATCACATATTTATTACTGTGCAGGAAGACAATTACCATTTTGTGGCTTACCTTCCTATTGATGATCACATCTATGAACTTGATGGCCTCCGTGATGCACCACTTGATCTTGGAGTAATTAAAGAAGGCCAAGATTGGTTGGATGTCGTGCGACCGATCATTAATGCTAGAATCCAAAAGCAAGTTCTTATTAATGAAGTATTTATTAGAATATGTGGCCTGTTTTCGTCTATTGTAAATAGTAACTGAAAAACTTAATCTTAGGTATTCTGCTGGTGAAATTCATTTCAATCTAATGGCTGTTATCTCAGAACGGAAAGCGAAATTCCAAAGGCAATTAACTGAGCTTATCGAGGTGATTTTTGTTGATTGATGATTTCACTGTATATACCTAAGACTTTTATTCTGCAAGACTGTTATGAACCTAAACACTTTCAATTTTTATGGCACCGTCGTCTTTCTTCTATTTTAAGTCAGCTGCTGTATTTCACATTAGTAAATACTTTTGTTTCTTTGAAGTTTTCTTTAATTATTACTGTTAACACTTAGGTTTTCAACACAGTTATATTTTTTATTTTTAAATAATGAAGGGAAAACTTCAGTCAGCAATGGATACTGATAGTAAATCGGAACAAATCAGTCACCTTCAAGCACTGATTGCAGCTGAAGAAGAAAAGGAAAAGGGCTTTAAAGCTGAAAATATCAGACGTCGTCACAATTATATTCCCTTCATTGTAGAGCTGTTAAAGATACTAGCCAAAGAAGGAAAGCTGGTCCCTCTAATAAAAGAAGTGTTTTCTTTGTTTCCTATTTTTCTGCATCTGTTCTTGAGACCTATTAGGGATTATCCATAGTCACTTTCATGGAATCAAAAATTTTATAAATTTTTGCTTCATTTCAGTTTTCATTTTAGAATGTCATCCGAAACGTTTCTTTTGATTATTTCATTGTAGTCATGTTCCAGGCACAAGAAAAAGCAAATCGTAAACCAGTCGTAAAGAAGGAAGAAAAACTGCAGTCTAAACTCTGATTGTAGTGTTATGGTTTTGTATAATAATAATTAGTCATTGTTACCATTTTTACTATGAACAAATGAGATATCTCGGATTAAATATAAAACTTTGTTTATAAGATGATTTGGAAGTATTGATCTATTATTTGGTCTGCAATAAAATGTAATGATAAAAAGTCAGAATTAAAACTTTAATTTTCAGACTAGTTTAAATATGATTGCTTTACATTATTTTGTAGGGAATGAACTGAAGTCTTCAGGCTAATTGCAATATGCATATATATGATTTTAATTGGCATTATGAGAAAGTTTTGCAAACTTGTTCTTTTTACTGTTATTATTTCCAAATACGTTTGGTGGTCTTGCTACAGTCTTAATCAATTTTTTGAACTATTATGAGTGTCCAGACCAAACAGTTTGATTTATATAAAGAGGAATTGAAAAATATATAGAGTTTTACGTACACAAGCTAGTCTACTTCAATCTGAATTTAGTGAGTAAGTGATTTTTTGTTACAGCAGATCAAGAATGCAGCAGTGCAAGAATGTTCTTATACATTAAGACGGCATTTACTCTTTACACTGTGATTGACTTTTATAAATGGACTAATAGATGATTGTGATTGAAGTTTAGAGACTTGGGTATTCAATTCATTTAAAACCTGAAGTTGTGGTGGAACTGGAGGTTAATAGTGGCCTAGTTAAGGTGGTGAAGTAAGTCTAACTGGGTCCGTTTTCAACCTTATCAAAATGTAAACGAAAGCAGATTCATATTAGGTTATAGATTGAGCTTTTATCATCGTGAGATATGTAGCTTGCGATTGGGGATGAATAGCATGAAGTTCTAATTGTCAAAAGTGGTTGTGCATGAGACACCTGTAGACTTTGATACTAATAAAATGATGCATACGTTCACGTGGAGTACTATTTTGCTGTTATTTGCATTTATATTTTCGTTATTTTCAAAATATTGCATATCATTTATTTGTGAATGTTGCATAAGGTATTGCTGAACTTATTTTAATCTCGTAGAGTTTAAGCAGCATAATTTTTGTGAAAAATTATAAGTGCAAGAAATATATGGTATCCTTTGCAAATTATAAGCTCTTGGATAAGTGAAATTGGAAAATTTGAAAACCATAAAAATTATTAAAGGTGTGGAAAATTGAGATTTCAATGGCAAAATACTGAAATTACTTAAAAAGGTTATTAATTGCAATAAAGGTAATTCAAAAGTGATTATTATAAGAAAGCGGTAGGTACAGAAGTGATAACCTGAATTTAATTTTGATGATTAACCAATGTAAGAGTATTTGCTCATATTTTATGGCTTCTTCTTTAATTTTAGCTCTAATTATGAGCAGAAGAATAATTTTTGATTTTGGTTTCTCAAAATTTTTGAAGCTTATATTCGATTTCAGATATTTTGTAGCTGGAATGAGCGCTTATATTATTTTACCCTTGGCTACGTATTATTACATCAATAAATGGTCTGATAATAAATTTGCCTGGAATGAAATGCTTATCAGACATACATTACTTCGTATTTCTCTCGTTGCCGTGAATGCTTTTTACATCAAAAAACGATTCATTAAGAGGAAAAATTTCTATGTATAATTTAGTCGTTTCACGTTTTTCCTACGTAGTAACTTGACCGTTTTACATTTTTACGTAATAATTTAGTCGTTTTATGTTTTTACATTTACCAAAATTGTAAAAGTAAAATTTTTATGAAGGGTATATTAACTGATTATGTACTCTGAAATCGAAAACTCCCCAAATTTTCTCCAATCATAGCATTAACACCTTTTTTTATTGGCTAGATGATACCAACATTGAAACCGATGATTAAAGAGTTTTGTTTCGAACATTGTTAGATAATGACCTTTTGACCGCAACAGTTTTAATGCCGTTAGTCTATTAATATGAATATTGATGTTGACAAATGCAATCAAACGAAGTGAATTGAATTCGTTTAATTTGTTCTTCTTTGAAATTTAACTTCTTGACTGTAATGTAGAGGAATTCGTTTAAGCGAGTCAAAGCTAAAAAAACTGTGAGGACTTAAAAATTTGAAACGTTAATCAAAAAAACTGAAATGACTATCAAAGTATTTACAAATTTTTAAAGCAAATGATATAGTATTGGCAGCATTATTATAGTGAATTTTCAAGATTTTTCGTACCAAATAAAATTGTGAATTTTAATAGAATAGCACAGCAAATAAAATTAAAGTAATTTCGACTTAGCAGAATTTTTGAATGAAAATGTTTTTAGTCACAAAAAGCTTGACATTTTAAGACTATTTAATAGTTAAAAAATTAGCTACACAAATTTGTTCAAAAAGGTAAGCTTTTCAATTATAAAGTACAAGCAAACATTAAGTTGACTAAAATTTTTGGCTAAAAATCAGAATGACCAGAGGACAGTAGTGGAACAGATGTAAGCTATTTATTTTAAGTAAATTAGTCTTTGAATATAAATAATAATATATTAAATTAAGGAGAAGTGTAATCAGTTCATCACAGATATGATTATTAGATAAACAGTTTTATTTCAGTTATGAAAAAATTTTAATCATAATTTCATATTTTCGTATAGCAATCGGTTAATTTTGTTAATAGCCCCAAGTTTTGACAGCTTTTGCTTGCATATGCTTCTTGGATTATCGATGTTATTCTCACAGTTATTTATACAGTAATTGGACTTGTCACATTACAAATATTTATAGCAAACGATCAAAAAAATAAA